ACGCGCGCGCGCGCGCGCGCACACACACACACACACACACACACACACACACACACACATCACATAACTGATTGATAATAATGCGTTGGCCTTTACGTCGACTCCTCGCACCTTGTCAATAATTGCTAGTCTCCGCGCACCTACGGGCCTGCTGCCTGGCTGCATGACATCTATACGCCTAGTCATTAATCAGACATGACTCTCCTGGCGCCTAATTACGGGGAGGCTCGTGGGAAAGAGGGCGATTCAAAGCACTTTCCATCAGTGTCCGGCCGCCGACGGCAGCGGATTGTTTTGCTAGATCTATATTCGGATAATTCTAAAGACGAGGGAGAATGTTTCCAGCCGGAAAGCGGATGCGCGAGCGCGCGGCTGAGTGTGAGTATGATTGCGAGCGCCTTTTTATAAGAGCCGCTCTCGTCGACTGCGGCGCTGATATGCGGCGGCAGCAGCAGCAGCAGCGCTAAGTCGTTACGCGAAAAGACACAAGAAGAAAATCGATATTCGCAATCTCTGCTGCTGATGCTGCGTTAGTACTTACTCCGCGAGAGCGAAGCAGAGCCTCCTTTGTCCGAGGTTGAAGCCACGCGGCCTCGGGTAATCACTTGTTTGCCCACTGTCAAGTGCTGCCACACAACGGGAAGAAGATAACGGCGGCGAACAATGAAACTAACTTTTTTTGCGCAGCGGAAATTATTCGAGAAAATTGCCGGTAGAAGTAGGACTCACAGTTTATGAGTGTTTCGTATTACTGCCCTCCTCCCCCCGAGAAGTCTCCATTGTCCGCTGTTAGACAGACGTGGCCTCTAACGCTTTCGTTACGGCTTGCTGTAAACGTTTTGCTAGCGTTGCGCCTCCTGATTTTTTTCTGTGTGTTTGTGTGCTGAAAGCTGGGTGTGTGTGTTGCCCATAGTCGTGTTGCGTGATAACATTTCGCATCGCCGTATCATCGTCACCATGCCAACAGATTTTCTTGTAATCCTTATACAGGAAGCGCCGGCAGGACGTCGGCAGAAGAGCAGCACGGCGTTCGGCAAACGATGTATATGTGTCTGAAAGCTTCGGTGCGAAAACGCTGCGTAGTTGCAGCGAAACCGACACGACGTGTTCACCTGATTGTAGCATATGATCACGTTACGACGTATATAACGATACGATGCATAGTGACAGACGCGGGCGCTCTTTCACAACAAACGAATTTTCTTCTAGGTTTATGAAAAGTTGTTCGCCGCGATCTTTTCCCTAGGCAGATTTTTTAGCTGAAACGAACGAAAATTACACAGTGGTTCGTACGCAGATTTCTTTTATGCTACGTAACGATTTTTTCACGTTGTTGTACCACGTCGCGGGATTCGCCTGTATGTTTTTTCGTTTTGAGCGAACTGTAATGCTACAGTAACGTAAGGTCGCTGTGTCGTCCCAAGTAACCTAATCACTATTTCGCTGTGTTCGTATTTTGACATTTACCGATTTAATTGCGATATTTTATTGAGTCCCGCGATGCGATTGTATTACCGCCGGGAGACAAACCTTTGTTTCCTAGACAACAGATTGAAGAGAACGACGCGTTACAATGCCCGGCGGAAATTTGTTGCCCGGGTCTTTCTCTCTCTCTCTCTCGCTATATACATCACACACGCACACGCACACGCGCACGCGCGCGCACACACACACACACACACACACACACACACACACACACACACGA